CCTTCTTGTCTCGAAAATTTCTAGGAAAACCAACAATATAACTTGATAAAGCCCGACGGTCAACAACATTGACAATTTACCCCTAGTTCTTCTCGATACTGTATTTTTTGGGTTTAAAGTTATAAATCAATATGCAGGTACGTGTATGCCCTAGGCCTAAAGTTGATCCTATTTCCATAGTGTCATTCGTTCCCTGAAGCTAGAGTTCCTCAGTAAGAAAACTTATCGTTACAGTTTTGTGAAGTCCTGTCAATCATAGCGCTCCTCGTAGCTGCGGCAGCGGCCCCGACAGCCGAACCCACCGATGCTGGCACAGCGGCACCTCGTACAGGAGAGATACTCTACCACCTCATGTGCTGGAATAAAAAAGTCGACTCCTTATGCCAGGGAAATGCAATTTGCACCACACATGGCAAGGTAATCAGCGACCTTAGATTATGCCAGTCTGATTGTATTTGCACTTGGCGGCGTTCGCACTAGATCGGAGACAGCTTCGAGGCAGCCAAATTTACACTTAGGATTCTCTCGGGTATGTTTATTCCACACATTACAGCACGAGCGGTGGGACCGATGATCATGGTCCTATGAAATCCGATGGCTTTGGTAGCAACCCATCCTAATCGAAAGTATCGGTGGTTTGCAGTTATGAGTACCTAGTTATACCACACTCTAACCAACCATAAATCTTCTTGCTATAGAGCCCTACCGCCATTTGCGAGGAAAATGGATAGTTGTCTTGACTGAAATACATACTGAGGAGGTCCAAAACACAATAAACAAACCCCTTCGCCATTCGAGCCTAGGATATGAGACGGACACTAAACCTTGGTCTAACGGAGGTACTCTCGGAGTATGATTATCGTGATGTGCATACTTAGATAGCCAATAACTCTAAATTGAGTATTTTATTTTTGCTCGGTTCTCTCATCTCATCTTTGAGGTGACACGAGTTTATTATATGCACGATGAAATGATCTCGAATCTAGGAAGCTTTGATGTCTTCGTGTGCATATGAAGGGGCGTCTACACAAGTACGCTTGCTTCAATCGCTGCCGAGTGTGGCTTGGCGGAGATTGAGTATATCTTGCTAAACTATATATAGGTTGGCCGAACACTTGCGTGCTGGCGCGGGTTTCAGAGTCATCTACTTGACAGCCGGGAGTCATTTTCCTAGGGCCGGGGCTCGATTCTCGATCTTGCAGACGATTTAAGCTCTCAATGCTGTGGCTGCGGGCTCTCGGAGTGCGTTCGATGCGGCAGCCAAGCTGTGGAAAAGCGACCTTGCCGGCCGGCGGCTCCGTGTCGGCCGGCTTGCTGCTAAATGTACCGCACCGCCTAGGATGCCGAATGCTAGATAATCTATCATCCTACCCCAAGCTGCAGGCAAATGCAGGAAAAGCGCTCGCGCCCTAAAATAGGCCTGACATTAAGGAGAAGGCCAAGCCAGGCCCGGGTTACCAGAGTCGGCCGGGACAAACATGCATTGTGATGCAATGATGACAGAGATTTAAGATAGATTATTATTATAATGGCCTTATAATAAAAGGACTCTCCTGTGACACTTTTACGTGCCCCGGACAGGCTTGCTATTTTTCTTTCTTCTCAGTATTGTGCACGGTGTCATTCTAGTAAGTTAAAACGAGTATAATAGAAGTCATAGTAATGGAAGCAGTTAAGATTATAAAGAAATGAAAACAGAAATAGGATTCTAATAGAATATTATGAAACCGGCCCGCGGGCTAATAAGCGCATTAAGCAAGAGAGTGACCGAAATTACCATCACATAATACCGAGAGTGCCGTTCCATATCTGCCTTGAGACCAATACGGGATATCCTTGAATCATGAAGACGAAGCTCCCAGGCCATCGCATGTTCCTTAGCCCAAGTAATTTTAGGACCTATACTAGGATACTGGAAACGAATCCGTGAAAGGACAAGAGGAGTTGCTATCAGTAGTGGTGTGACGTCTCGTGACGGGACTCTCGTCATGGTGTCGTTCCTTAGGCCGGGTTTAGCGCGATAAAATGGCTATCGTCGGCGATATCGTAATGCCCAGGCACGAATAGACTTAGCATATCGAATGCCCTTACATCACTCTATATGTAAGAACATCTATCTTCCGCCGCAGGGTCCCGGCTTGTAATGAAATAGAACGCGTATTTGTCTTTTAGAGAGATGATAGTCGTCAACTTAGGTAGAATCTGGGTAGAATCTAGGTCGAATCTAGATTGGGAAAACATTATTATGGATGGTGCTACCTAGAAAGGCAATACCATTAGTCAAGCGTGTCAATTGATTGGATGACGGCCGGCCGCTGGACGTGGATCAGGGGGTAACATACAGAGTTTTCAGTGGGGTTTTGGACTGAGCTTCAGGGACGAGTTCAGGCCAGAATCGAGCGCGAAGGGCCATAGCGTCAATCTAGCCCGATGCCGGGACGTGCGATGGTTAAGGTTGACTCCAGCCTTTCTCCGAAACCCTCCGCCACCACATCGTCGCATACCTAGTGGACACTGTCTTCTTATCAGTTGCTGGCAACGGGGGTATTCCATTAGGAAAATTTTACCTTGGATGGGGGTGGAGTGTATCGTGACTCCATACCAAATGGAATGGCGTGAGTCTGGGGCGGGTCGGAGTCATTCATCTCAACTCATCCATTTATTCATGGCCACTCCCCCCTTCGGATTCTATGTGTCAAGCAAATCCTCAGCTTGCTTCACACGTTAAACACGATCCGACTCTCGCGCCGGACCATGGCTTCGCCGACGGCTGTTCTAGCTTCACCAGGTAGTGAGACACCGGGTGACGCTATAGGGGCGGCTACTTTTGAAATCGAGAAGAAATTGCCAGATGCAGCATTGATGAGTGCATCTCTCGATGGTTCGCAGAAAGACCCGGAGATAGGCGAAGGCCTACAGCGTGGCTTGAACAGCTGGCATCTCCAATTCATCGCAATAGGAGGCGCTATCGGCACGGGACTTGTAAGCTTCAAAATCGTTGTTCGTGATGGAGTTCGAATTATCTGCTAACATGTCGTAGTTCCTCGGAAGTGGAAAAGCGCTCGCGACAACGGGGCCTGTCGGCTGCTTGATTGCCTTTGTTTTCGTTGGTACGATCGTCTACTCGATTATGGTAAGCCTGGGCGAGATGGCTACCTTCATGCCCGTTGCGGGTTCATTCACAGCCTACGCATCACGATTTGTCGACCCTTCGCTCGGTTTCGCCGCTGGCTGGATCTACTGGTGGTCTTGGGCCTCAACGTTCGCTGTGGAATTAGTCGGTTCCGGTCTTGTTATCCAGTACTGGGACAAGACTCTGAGTGTCGGTATCTTTATCGCCGTATTTTGGGTCGTTTTCACGGCTTGCAACTTTTTACCTATTCGTTGGTTCGGAGAGTTTGAAGCATACTTCGTGTCCATCAAGGTCATCACGGTTATCGGCTTCATCATCTTTGCCATTGCCATCGACGCGGGTGCTGGTCAAAACGGCTACCTTGGCTTTACCTATTGGGCTCATCCAGGCCCTTTTGCCGAATCTATAGTCCCCGGAGCCGCTGGCAAGCTTGTCGGATTCTGGTCTGTCCTCGTAACCGCAGGGTTCTCATATCAGGGCACTGAGCTTGTGGGTGTCGGTGCAGGCGAGACGGCGGATCCTGCCAAGACCGTGCCATCGGCCATCCGATGGACATTCTGGGGCGTATTTTCGCTTTTCGTGGGGACTATCTTCTTCATCGGTATCACAGTACCTTCAGACAACCCAAATCTGCTCACTGACGCCAATGACGCCTCGGCATCGCCTCTCGTCATTGCTGCTATATTGGCTGGCGTACCCGTTCTTCCACACATCATCAATGGTGTCCTACTCACGGCGGTGCTGTCAGCTGCGAATTCTAACGTCTACTCAAGTAGTCGAATGATGGTTGCGTTGGCCAAGGAAGGACATGCGCCGAAGTTCTTGGCACGGACGAACCGCTTTGGCACACCCCATTACGCGGTGATTTTTTCGGCGGTCATCGGCCTGCTTGCCTTCCTTAACCTATCATCTGGCGGAGGCCAAGTTTTCGACTGGCTGCTAAATATTACCGGTATTGCGGGATTCATTGGCTGGTGCACCATCAGCATTTGTCACTTGGTCTTCAGTACGTATTTCCGAGTCTTTCCTTTCCTGTTTAGCGAGATTTTTACTTCCACACACTTCTGCGTGCGCCCGAAACCCTTTGAGATTGAGTCAAATCATTATCGCCTATTATAGAATCTAACACCTGGACTCTTCTAGTGCGAGCCCTACGAGCCCGAGGTATCTCGCGAGATTCGCTAGCCTTTAAAGCGCCAATGCAGCCCTGGCTAACTATCTACGGACTGTTCTTTTGCACTCTGATTCTCTTTTCAAACGGGTTTACAGCCTTCATTAAGTGGAGCACTAGCGATTTCTTCGCAGCCTATGTCAGTCTTATCTTATTCATTATCCTCTATTTCGGACATAAGGTGGTCTACCGGACACGGTTTGTGAATTTGGCCGATATTGATCTTGAGCGAGACCGGATATGAGTGTAGCGATATGTATAAGAGACGATTTCATGTTTAGATACGTTCTATGCTGAATTGAATGAATATAATGTGTTTACTCCAGTGGTGGCCATTTGTGAAGCTCGGTGTGCTGTGAAGTAGCTCTAGGATTGGCCGATGATAGCCGACGAGGGATTATCCCCAACGGCCGAGTAATGCGTTTATACATAGTACGTAAATATTTGTATGTTCTCGTTCCTCAACAGAATCATTTCATCTACGATGAGCTATTCTCCGGGTCTCATCCCGGCAGCTTAACAAGGGCGCTAGAACCCCCCAAACCCCAAGCGGATTACCCCGAATAGCTAAGGCAAAGCTAACCCACACAGCGCACACGTATCACCTTCATTCACCACCAAACAATCGTCCAACACAGACACCATAATTTGTCTTAGCGAGCGACGAATCCACACAGGAAGATCGCTTCCTTCATGGGGCTTGTGGTTTAGTGGTATAATACTCCCTTAGCATCTGACGGCCTTCTTCTAAGAAGCTCACAAAAAATTGGGAGTGGTCCGGGGTTCGATTCCCCGCGAGTCCAACATTGGTGGTTCAATTCCACCTATACCCGCGTTCATTTTTTTTCTTTCTCTTTCAACTCTGTGTTTTCTTTTCTTTTCCTTCTCCTACCTCCTTTAGAAGGTAGGAAGCCCTGTCTCTTGATCGATAGCAATCATAGCGACCCACTCTATAGCATTTATACATAGAGAAAGTATTAGTAGTGGTATATGGAAAGAAACTCTCTCAGGCAAGCTAAGTCCTTGAGTTTCTACTATGTAACTTAATACTACGTAAGTAATAAATAATAAATATAAGAAGGGCGCAGGAACGAATCCCTCTTCCAATGAGGAAGCTTGTTTCAATTTTGCGGCGCTTTAGATTTTTGCGAACGGCGAGCCAATCGATCCCCTGTCGACCTTCCAATTCGGTCAATTACTGCTTAAAGCGCGTGCATCGAGGCCCTAGAACAGCACCTGGGCACTCCCTGAACAGAACATGATACCAGGTATCTATCTGGATTACAGGGCCAAACAAGATCCTATCTAGGCTTGGTCAATTATTCAGTGGAATGTAACACGACCGATGCCAAAATGCAAATGCCAGCCCAGCAGATGCGCGTCTTTCTAGCCTCTAGCCCTCCATAGAGGATGAATGTGGAATTCTATTCAGAAATGGAAAGTTCCCCTAACTGGAGGCAACTATAAATCTCCCTAGTTTGACATTAAATCTCCTCAAAGCCAAACTACCCAAATTGGTCGCTTAGAAGTACCTATCTTCCTGAATCCTTAACGAGCGGGCAGACAGAAGATTCGAAGCCTGTCTCGGCCGTATTACGAGATATACTTCTGGTCCTACATCAGTGAACGTATTCGGTAGGCGCACCTAGGTTCAGGATGTATCATGATCCTACCTAATGATGACATAAATCTATAATACCTTCCAGGTGCTACCTACTCCTTATGCTCCGCAAAGACAAGAGATGATGAGAGAACCTCTCTTTCTTCATGTCATTTGCCTTGCGCACATTCTCTTGCTTATCATTTTTCGCTTCATCCCTAACTACCTAACTACCTAATTAACCTCCCTATTTCTTCATTCTTTCAGACTTGTTTTGTCTATTGACTTAGATCGCGTCCAGACTGGCTCTGCCTCACCTTTTTAGTTTGCTATTATTCACGCCTCAAGCGTGTATATGCTCTTTGCTCTATTCCCCTCACGAAGTAAATATAGCATCAACTGTGGCTGGCTACGATGCAATCCTCGTGAATATTAACACTACCAGCTTTACATCGCAGAATTCTTGGATTTCGTTGCTCTTTTACAAGTAACAATTAGATATACGTTTCCCTCCTATTCCAGCTCACCAAATACCCCGGCTGTTTTATTTCATTTCATCGCTGAGCTGCCGAAACTATGTTTAACGACCTCGCTCGTGCTGCCGCGCTGGGCGCGACTTTTATAGCTCCAAAGGACCTCGATATCAATGACCCAGGTAGTTTTATTCGATTCTCATATTATCTATCAGTAGCTAGCATTTTTATCTAACTATGGCGCAGAGTCAATTAGGTCAGTCGCCAGTACAATCGCTTACGGCACCATGAGCTACTACACTGGAAACATCACAAATACCCCAAATGTACGTAATCGTTCCCCCATCAGACTGACAGGCAGGTTTGATAGGGCTAACCACGCTATATAAGACTATCGCGGTCTTCCCCCAACCTCATTGTAAGACCTCTCCTTGTCCCTCTAGTATAGAATGACTAGAGTTTGCTGACTTTCCGTTCCAATAGACTGGTGGCAAGCCGGTGCTTGTTGGGGAGCTATGCTAGATTACTCGCATTATACCGGCGATACTAGCTATGACGATGTGATAACACAAGCACTACTAAGCCAAGTCGGTCCAGAATTCGATTTCATGGTTCCTCTTTATGCTGGTTCTGAGGGCAATGACGACCAAGCTTTCTGGGCTTTTTCTATACTAGAAGCCGCCGAGCGCAACTGGCCCCAGCCCGACGATTCTATACCTCCTTGGCTAACAATAGCTGAAAATATATGGAACACTATGGTTGCCAGATGGGACGAGACGAGTTGTGGCGGTGGCCTACACGTATGTAATCCTCGGAGTCTTTTTTTTTTTTTTTTTCGGCGACCTTCAGAGAATAGAAGCTCCTTTCTAGGCCGATATCATTCACAGAAAACTGTTACGTTGTTTGGAGAGCACACATATAGTGCGCTCATTAATAGGAATTACTAATACGAGTATTGTAGTGGCAGATATATGCTAGTAACCCAAATGGTCTCGATTACAAGAACGCAGTATCCAATGGTGGTTTGTTTCAAATATCCGCGAGGCTGGCACGGGCAACTGAAAATGAAACCTACGTCCGATGGGCGGAAAATGTCTGGGACTGGTCAGAAAAAGTTGGGTTCATCGACGAGAATTTCAACGTCCTTGATGGCGCGAGTTCGATGAATGGCTGCCAGGACACCAACCCTGTAAGCTTCTCCTACTCGCAAGGCATTTATATGTACGGAGCAGCAATGCTTTTCAACTATACCAATGGAGACGAGACCTGGGCCCATCGGACAAATGGCCTCCTGCAGGCTTCTCGATCATACTTCAGCCCATTCCCAAACGCTACAAATATCATGTATGAGCACGCCTGTGAGCCATATGATACGTGTAACACGGATATGAAATCGTTCAAGGGCTATCGTAAGTAATTCCTAAAGCTTTCTTTATCCATTCTTTGGCCGACCTTGAGATTAGAAGGGTTGCTTTCCGAGCCAGAACCATATCTCCTAAGTTTTCTATACTTCCAAGCACGCTCATGGACCACATTCAGAATGGCGATTACTGACTCGGAGTGTTGCAGTCTCGCGCTTCATGGGCGCAACGACACAGATGATGCCTTCAACTCGCAATGATGTTCAAGAACTGCTTGGTATGTCTGCTGTATCAGCAGGGAAGGCGTGTTCAGGTGGTGATAATGGTACCATATGTGGGGAGAAATGGTATGCATTCTTGAGATTTATGTTCTGCTCACTTCCACCCTGCCCTCCACGCTAGAGAGTTAAAAAAAAAAAAAACTTAGATTCCGGCAATTACTAACATCGGGGTTCGGGCAGGTATGTCGAAGGGTATGATGGGAACCCGGGTCTCGGGCAGCAAATGACCGCCCTTGAAACCGTCCAGGCACTGCTAGGTTTTGACGCGCAGCCACCTTTCCAATTTGGTGAAATTGAGCATGTCAAAAGTAAACCGATACCAGAGCCGATGACTACACCATCGACCACCGCAACCACAACATTGCCATCGACTACAGACCAGCCAGATTCTGTTACTCATGTTATCGCGGTTGGTTATATTCCTGTTGCTATGGCATTAATCGCCTCGGTTGTGATTTTTAGTGTATAAGCTACGAATGTAAGGGCGAAGATGCATGGCAACCGGAGTTGGGGCCCAACAGATTTTATTTACCTTAGACAACGGGTGGTGGCATCACATTCTAGGGCGCAAATAGTTTAAATTCCTACAAAATTTACCTGATGAGTCCTGTCTTGCCAACATCCTTGTCTAGTCTCATATCAAGTCAGCCAGAATCCCGTTTGATCTATCTGAAGCTTGAAGTTTAGGTTTGTCGTGAAACCTTGTTTCAGCAGTGTACTAGTTAGCTACAAAATCTGCCTGTATTATGCATCTATACGACTTCCTTAACCCGCTCTATGCATCAATTGAAGTTTGTAGTTTCTGCAAGTGCTGGCTCCGATCGGAGCTCCACAGTGACGGGTTTGCTACACGCCTCGTTGTGATCTCTGACTCAGGAACTGGAAAGCTATGATAGGAAATAATATAAAGTTATATGACTATCTAGTATCTCTAAAGTCACGACAAGGAAGGGCAGTACCGATTTTGTACAGAGTCAGGGAGACAAAAACGACTGGTATCGATCATATCGGTTCAATATGTCGGCGTTCAACCTGGAGACCTGTGCGAGGTCTAACATCTTGGCGCTCGAGCCTTACCGTTGTGCGAGAGAGTAGGATATTCGAAGTTTCTTAAGACATATGTCCCAGTGCTGACATTCTCGCTCTAGCGACTACAAGGATGACGGTACAAACATCTTATTAGACGCAAATGAGAACGCCTACGGGCCCTCTTTGATAGCCACTGCTGCCGCCTCATCGGGCACCACGTCGTCGGGACCCGAAATTGACTTCGTGGGCCTGCACAGATATCCGGATCCGCACCAGCGGGAGTTGAAGCAACTGCTCTGCAATCTCAGGAATACTCACCATCACACAGACAAGAAGATCACCCCGGACAACTTATTCGTCGGTGTCGGGAGCGATGAAGCCATCGATAGTCTCATGCGGTGTTTCTGTGTTCCCGGCCGTGACAGAATCCTAGCCTGCCCGCCTACTTACGGCATGTATTCCGTATCGGCGCAGGTGAACGACGTGGGTCTAGTCAAGATACCACTCCTGCCCGCACCAACATTCGCGCTTGACGTTGCCAAGATAAAAGAGGTGCTGTCAAGTGAGCCTAGCATCAAATTAGCCTATCTATGTTCGCCGGGAAACCCGACAGGGGCACCACTCGCAAAGGAGGATATACGGCAGCTGCTGGAACACCCAACATGGAACGGCGTTGTTATCATCGATGAGGCATACATTGACTTCTCGCCCGAGGGTTCGTCACTTGCCGAGTGGGTCGCTGAGTGGCCTAACCTCGTCGTTATGCAAACGTCGTCTAAGGGCTTCGGCATGGCGGGGATTCGACTCGGTACTGTATTTACATCGGAACCCATCGCACGACTTCTGAATAGTATGAAGGCGCCGTATAATGTCCCTAGTCCAACAAGCGCACTAGCTATATACGCATTTTCTCCGAATGGGTTGGCAGTTATGCGTGGGAATCGAGAAAAGATCGTCGCGCAGAGAGAGCGCTTGCTTCGCGAACTACCTAAGATCAAGGGAGTTGGACGCCTACGCGGTGGTGTCGAGAGCAATTTCCTGCTCTACGAACTACTAAAT